GGGTAGTGTCCTGCAAGTGTACATGGTACGGTCCTTGGTATTGCGGTTGACTTGAGTGACATGCCTTACTTTCTCCGTCCGTTTCCTGGTCCTTACCGAGCGGGCGTCCCCGGTCGGTCGATCCCAGTTGGCTCTGATTGCGCCAGTCGGAGAAGAGCTATAAGTAGGGGTTCGGCGCATTCCCGGTCGGGGAAGCGGGTTGGAGTCGGAAGTGGTGTTTTGGCCAGGCCTTCCGGTCGGAGAGGCCGTCCGGAGGTGGGCCGGTGACGGAAGTGAGCGTTGTTCCTCCTTCGTGAGGCCTTCCGGTCGAAGAGGCGGACCGGAGTCGGAAGCGGACGCCGTGCTTCCTCGGTCAGGCCTTCCGGTCGAAGATTGGATTGTCCTTCTGGCCTGTCGTTTAGGTGTTTATGGGTCGACCCAAGAGTTGTGCGTCGTTTGCAACATTGTCTGTAGGGCCGAGCCTTTGCTGGGAAGCCGGTCCTTGAGGAACCCCGGGTTTATGAACCCGACATACGTAATAAAAAAAGATATACCCAATAATAATTATGGTGATAAAGAGCCCTTTTGTGTATTGTTGCTCATATTTTTTTCACTCTGACTTACTGACTTATTAAATCATCGACCACTTCAGATCGCCTAAATTTGTGAGTTCGCGCACCTCTAACTATACTTCTGATATTACCATCTGTAGTATGCCAAATAAATAAAATATCAATACATGGCAGATCTAAAGAAAAAGATTATTCAGAAAAAATAGATGTTATATATTTTTTTAAAAATATTATCAATACAAAGTTGACTCATGAGTAAATGGTTTGTGTTTTGTAAATAAGTGGGGTATTACTCTCTCGGTTCACATGTCACATTAGTTTTGTTCCCCATCAACTATCTTTGATCATATATTTGAAAAATCCTTATAGTTTCACAATATACAATTATATGAATTATATTTATAGAAGTATTTCTCCTAGCGAATTTAAAAATATAAATATTATACCATTAACTCATGTAATTTTTTTGAAATGTATAGTTAAAGATATAAATATTCCCTTAAGATAACATATAAAAAAATGGAAGGAGTGTTCACAAAAAAAAATGAAGGAGTAACAATCTCTTCACTGTTTTGACCAGGGACGGAGCTACAGGGTATGCCAGGTATGCCCTGGCATACCCTGCGTTCCCGGGACTGTACCCTGACTATATACACAGTATTTGTAAAAGAAAACTACCAGGAGGCTGGACTGCTGGAGAATAGCAGAAACCGAACGGCCTGGTATCAGCGAGCGTCCACGCGACGCAAGTGGAGAGGCCGCGTACATACATAATAGAAAATTTATACGTAAAGAGAGAGAGGGAGAGGAAGCAACGCAAGTACGCAATGACTACGACTCGGTTCGGCTTCTGCGCTTTCGCAAGTACGCAACGCAAGTACGCGGAGTTTGCGCCGGCCTGGGCCCTGGGAGTAACTGCACGCGGAGAAGTCAAATCATCTTCGTCTCTGCGCCAGCGCCCAGCCGCCTAGCGGCCGGCCACGGCGGAGCTTTGGCAGTTCGGCGACGGCGCGTCGGGCACTCGGGCGGATCGCGTCGCGTCGCCGCTGCATCGCATCGTTCAAGCTTTAGGCACTTCGACTTTTTGATGGTTTAGCCTTGGCCAAGGCCAGCGGCAAGACGGGCCGAGAGGCCCAGGGATTTGGGCGGACGCGGGACCCGGGATTGCGTCGGTCGCCGGGGCTGGGTCATCCCCGGTACGCCGCCGACTGCTCGACGCCTCGACTGATCGGCACTCCGACTCCGACGGCACTTAGTTGTAGGACTGCAGGTATTGATCTTGTTATTTGTAAAAAAAACTTTGTACTGTACTCGTATAGTTATATTTTTATTTATTTATTTATTTATTTATTTATGGGTGATTTTTTATTATTTCAATTCGTGTTCGTGAGTTTGTTCAACAGACCACTGATTAGCAATTTAGGTTTAGCATCAATCGCATGTGACTATACTATTTGAGTTTCGCACGTTTGGTAATTATAAACTATTTTTCAGAAGAATTGTTGAATGATGAAGAGAAACGGCGACATTCGATCCTTTTTTTGCAAAGCAAGACAAAGAAGCCATTGCAACGCTTTGAACCCTACCCCACCTCCGGTTGAAACTGTTGTGGAAGAGCATAATCGAGAAGATAGAGCAGAAGTTGAAGAAATTGCAGATCCTTTCGCCCCCGCTAGCGTCATCGCCACCGCCACCGCCCGCATCAAAGCCACCGGTGTATGACATCGATCTTCTACCATATGATCCAGGTGAAAGACTGTCCATAAAAGATTATCATGTTAATAATCAAGATGCAATCCGTAGAGCATATATTACTAAAGGTCCTTGCAAACCTTATATACATGATTTCCCGTATCGAAACATTGGAGACAGACCTCGTCGATTCAGTTTACAGTGGTTGTATAATTATGAGTGGCTTGAATATAGTATCAAGAAGGATTCTGTATTTTGCTTTATATGCTACTTGTTCAAGAAGGGCAGTGGGTCAGATGCATTTGTTGTTGATGGATGGGATGATTGGAATATAGGAAACGCCGCACTCATCAAACATAGTGGTTCTAAGGCACACAAAGCAGCTCAGGAGAGGTATATTGATTTTATAAATCCCAAGGTAGCAATTGATTATCACATTGATAAGTGGACTGATGAGGAGCTTCGTCTTTACAAGAAAAGATTGACATATTCACTTAGATGTATCAAGTTTCTTTTGCTTCAAGGATTGGCATTCTGTGGAAATGATGAAAGTGAAGAGTCTAGCAACAGAGGCAACTTCATTGAACTTTTGAAGTTTCTTGCAGGAAATAGTGATGAAGTGAACAAGTATGTCTTGAACAATGCACCAGGTAATTGCACTTTGACTAGCCCAAAGATACAAAAGCAAATTATTCATTGTTGTGCCATAGAAACTAGAAAGAAAATAATTGAGGAACTTGGTGATGAGCCCTTTGCAATTTTAGCCGATGGGTCTAGTGACATATCACATAAAGAACAACTAGCTCTTTGCTTGCGTTTTGTTGATAAACTTGAAAGGCCATGCGAGCACTTCATTGGAGTTGTTCATGTAGATGATACTACGTCTTTGTCACTTAAGGAAGCAATTAAAGGTTTACTTGATAGTAATGGATTGAGTATGACTCGGATTAGAGGTCAAGGTTATGATGGGGCTAGCAATATGAAAGGTGATATTAAAGGGCTGAAAACATTAATCATGAAAGAATCACCTTCTGCTTATTATATTCATTGCTTTGCACATCAACTCCAACTAGTTCTTGTAGCTGTTGCCAAGGGAAATACTGATTGCAAGACCTTTTTTGATCAAGTATCTATCTTGTTGAACATTATTGGGGTTTCTTGCAAGCGTCATGGTATGCTTCGAAATGCTAGGCTGGAGAATGTCAAGAAATCACTACAGTGTGGTGAGCTTGAATCAGGGAGTGGTTTAAATCAAGAGATGGATTTGCCTAGGCCTGGTGATACTCGGTGGGGCTCGCATTACAAAACTATATGTAGCATCATCACTATGTATTCCTCAATTCATGATGTGCTCATTGAGCTTGGTGCTGATATTGCATATAAGGATGATTGGACAAAGATTCATTTTGTGCTTGGAGCATTTGAAACCTTTGAGTTTGTTTTCTTTGTGCACTTAATGTATGTTATTCTTGGATACACAAATGAGTTATCCGAGTGTTTGCAGAGAAGGGATCAAGATATTCTTAATGCAATCTCACTTGTTAATGTGGCAAAGAGCAGAATGCAACAGTTTAGGTCTGATGGTTGGGATAAATTTCATAAGACGGTCACTTCTTTTTGTATTACACATGGTGTCGAAGTTCCTGCTATGGATGATGCTTATGTGCCTTATGGAAAATCAGCAAGGTATGCCCGTGCCCGAAACCAAAAAAATGATGACCATTTTAGAAGAGAAGTGTACATTGGTGTCATTGATCAAATTAGTCAAGAGCTTAATAATCGGTTTGATGAGATCAACATGGAGCTGCTCTCTTGTATGTCAGCATTTAGTCCTTCCAAGTCCTTTGCTTCATTTGATGCACAGAAGCTGCGTAGATTGGCTGAATTTTATCCTAATGACTTCTCCAACAACAATTTGGTACAGCTAGAATTGCAACTTGATAATTATATTGATGACATGAAACGAACTGAATGCTTCCAAGGTCTAGACAACATTGTTGATCTCTCAGTTAAGCTTGTTGATACAAATAGGCACAAAGTGTATGATATGGTGTACTTGCTTCTCAAATTGGTATTGCTTTTACCGGTGGCAACTGCGAGCGTTGAAAGGGTATTTTCTGCATTGGTTATAGTGAAAACAAAATCAAGGAATAAGCTAGGTGATATTGTTCTGGATGATTGTCTACAAACATTTATTGAGCGGGATATTTTCTTTCAAGTTGACGAAGATGATATAATTGAGACATTCATGTCATTGAGAAAGCGACGGATCAACAAGTAATATTGTAAGTCTCTTATATGGCTATATTTTAAAGTATTTTGTATTTGATTTGAACAATTTATATGGTTTTAGAATATGGTTTTACCGAATGAGAAATATGGTTTTACCAAATTATATATGGTTTACCGAATTGCATAAGAATTTTTTTTTGCTGTGCATACCCAAAGGTAAAAACCTAGATCCGTCACTGGTTTTGACGTACCTTCAGGCTTCAGCACACAGGAAGAAGGAATGAAGAAGGATGCCTATGATGCATTTACACGGTTTTGTCAAGATTTTTTTCTCACGTTTGCCCCGTGATTACTCTCTTCTCATAGCTTAACATTCTCGCATACAGCACAACATTTCACAAGGGCTTGTGCGGAAAACCTCTCTCTGCCTACCACCTCCTCCGTACGAGGCAGCTCGTTCGAGACTGAGACACCCCCCGCACGCCCGCGGCCGCCTCCCTCCGCGCAGATCTCGCCGCCGACGAGATGCTCCGCCGCGGCGTGCTCCTCCTCGTGGCCGTCCTCCTCGCCGTCGCTCACTCGCCCCTCGCGTACGCCTCGGAGGCCGACCACAAGGTGCCCCCCTTCATCCCAACCCTAGATCCGAACACTCCCTTGGCTGGATCCGTCGAGGCGCCGCGCCGCGCCGGATCTAGGCGTAGCGGGCCGCTGGGCCGCTGGGGGACCGCGTGCTTAGTACCAGGGGACGGCTTTGGTCTGTAGCTCCGTGGTGCGAAATTCTGGGTGCTTACTGATTTGGAGTCATGATGAGATGAGCGAGACAACGGTTTGAGTGCTGTTTTAGAAGCTGGTTGTTTTGATCCTGGTTGCTATGGGGGGGTGTGGGCAAGAAATTGTGACAGCCGCATTCGGACAAAAGTTTGTTCCTTTTTCTTTGCATGCAATAAACTTTCAGATAGTGTTACCATTCTCGTTGAGAAACAGCTGGTTCTAGTTGTGTCATTGTAGTAGGCCTCGTGTAAGATTAAATAAGCATAGGGGACATCTCTTCGCTTACAATCGCATGCATGTTTTCTTGGTCTTGCTTATTAGATGGTGCATGCCATGTTTTCGAAAGGGCGCAATGCATGCATTTCATCGCGGGCTTATAATTGTTATGCTACATACACTTTAATTCGGTAGTTATCGTGTGGGGATTCCATCGTGGAAAATACTAGTTGAGCATGCTGTAGTGGCATTTGACTTGATGGTTCAAAGACGAAGACATCTTCATTCTTCATTTTTTCGTTAAAATTCTGGAGTAGATTACTCACAGTTGGCTAAGAAGGGTTGAGCTTTAGCACAGTGGCAGGTCCTTGCAGCAATGTCCTGGGGGTAGCAGTTCTGTTTTGGACATTATTATTTAAGTTTCATGCTGAGTGTAACTGCATTTAGACCTGTCAGAATAATTACTTTGAGTGTCTTCTGATCTGTATGGTGAGTGTTACTCTGTGATGTAAAGTCAGGCCTTGATGTCATTAGACAGAAACTTGTGATTAGTAAGGTAAAACAATATGTGGATTATGAAAGTCCTAGTTAGACTGCTTACCCTTTTGTTTCTGACTAGAAGCGCTGCTCTTTGTTAAAGTCCATGAAATATCTACGCCTCTGATGATTAGTGATTAGAAGATTGAATCACTGGGCTTAAGAAATATCAGAGTTCTTTTTCCTGAATATGGTTGGGGCTGTTTCAAATTAAACATTTAGTCATCATGATCGCTATGCTTCTATATCTTTCACTGTTATCCTTGATGCTACAATATTCAGAAAACTTGTTTCCTACAACCAGAACCAGCTTACATGTTGCTGTCTTTTCAAAATTTACCTGCACTGAATTTAACTATGATAAGAATGCCTTCATCTACTGAAGCATTGCAGCTTCTAATTATTTTTCTTATGTGCAGTATAAAACAGAAGAACCTGTTAAGCTATGGGTAAACAAGGTTGGGCCTTACAATAACCCTCAAGAGACGTACAACTATTACAGTCTCCCATTTTGTCAACCATCTGAAAACCCTGCGCATAAATGGGGTGGTCTCGGAGAGGTCCTTGGTGGAAATGAGCTGATTGATAGTCAGATCGATATAAAGTTCATAAGTATGCTTGCCTTCTCTTGACATCCTCCTGAAGTTTGTTTATTTCTTGGACCATGCATTGATGCATGTTTGTTCCTGTGACTGAATTGATTTATTTCATTGGCTTTTCATTTGATTGTTTCTTTTGTTTAGAAAATGTGGACAAGGGGGCCATTTGCACAATTGAACTTGATGCTCAAAAGGTTCAGCAATTTGCTAATGCCATTGAAAACTCATATTGGTTTGAGCTTTTCATAGGTATGGAAAATCCTCATTTAGTTTTATTCCGATCCACAGTTTTTGGGCGCTTTATCTTGTTTCTGACATTCTCTGTGTCCACATTTTGCTCCAATGCTTACCGTGGTTCAATAACCTAGATGATCTGCCATTGTGGGGTAGGTGGTTCTATACCTGACCATTTCTGTTGCACAAATTCTTTATATTTTCTTTTGAAATAATGGAGCCAGTTCCCTCTGAGCAGGTTTTGTTGGGGAGACTGACAAAAACAATGAGAACAAGCACTACCTTTACACTCATAAGAACATTGTTGTTAAATACAATGGTAACAGGGTATGTGTTGTATATAACCTTAAAAGGATTAGCTGAGACCAATCTCCATTAGAATGGCTAGATTTAACGTTGGCTCTCCACGCCTATCACAACCCTCGCCCTTTACTGTGGCTTGGGACCTGCTATGTTGAGACAACATAGGCGGAGTTAGCTGAGACCAATATGTTGGCTAATTCAATTTCCTCTGCAGATAATTCATGTGAATCTAACGCAAGAGTCACCTAAGCTTCTTGAAGCTGGTAAAAAGTTGGATATGACTTATTCAGTAAAGTGGGTGCAAACAAATGTGGCATTTGCACGGCGTTTCGAGGTTTACTTAGACTACCCGTTCTTTGAACACCAGGTAATTCTTGCTTGCACAAGAGACAACATACCTTTTCAAAAGGACACTTTGGTCTTCTTTCCTTGACTCTGACAAAGGCGGACATTGCTTTCTGTCTGAGTAATTACAAGATGGGTGACTATTTTTTTTTCCATGTTCAGATTCATTGGTTCTCCATCTTCAATTCATTCATGATGGTTATTTTCTTGACTGGTTTAGTGTCAATGATATTGATGAGGACACTAAGAAATGATTATGCAAAATACGCTCGTGAAGATGACGATCTGGAATCACTTGTAAGTTCTGAACCAGGAATCTGTAGCACGTCAATATACTTATATATTTCTCATTTTGCCTGCTAATGTAACTTAGGTGCTGTTTGGTAACGTGCACAGTAACGCAAATTTAATCAAAATTAGTTCATTTGTATCTGCAGCCGGTAACGTTCGCAGGCTTAAATTATTTTCGTTTGCGTTACCTGCTGTAGAACCAAACATCTTGTTAATGTTTTCTCAATTGATTTTATCTATATCATATGATATTTCTAAAATAGAAGAATCTTTTAGCCAATCATTATGAGATTATTATAGAAAAATCCATCTGTCATTTTCATGCCAGCAATGTAATATTTCTGAAAGAAACAACAAATCAATTTATCTAAAATTTAATTGAATCATACAAGTTGCAAGTAACAAGTTTTTCTGTGACTCGATGGATTGTTCAGGATTAAGATATGGGTTTCCTTTTTCAGGAGCGAGATGTTAATGAGGAATCTGGGTGGAAGCTTGTCCATGGTGATGTGTTCCGACCTCCTCACAGCCTGGTGTTTCTTTCTTCCCTTGTTGGTATTGGCACTCAGCTGGCAGCTCTTATCCTGCTTGTGATTGTGTTGGCCATTGTTGGCATGTTATATGTTGGGTAAGCTCATAACCATCTTTCTTTATCTCCTTTTTTCTTCCTTGGATGTGCAAAATCCAGGTGTTTAATTGATGGAAGTGTTTTTTTGGCTAATCAATATATTTATCTGAACCTGAAAATTATGAATAAGAATGTCTTAGCTTTCAAAGGGCGTTCTTGTTTTATGCTTAAAAAATCATCTCTTTCTTTAGACGAAATGATATGGTGCAATTGATTTCTTTGGTAGGTTAGTAATCTCTGATTTTGATATATGACCGCTGTAGGATGTTTAGATAAAATAGTTGCTTTTGCATAATCTGGGAATACCTTTGGCAAAATCCCTCTATTGACATCTGGAATAGTGCTCAATGAGATGTGATGTGAATGAGCAAGCAACCCAGAATTTACAACCCATGCAATTCTGACTTGGAGAGCATGGAAAGTTTGTAAGATAGAAATTACTAGAATCCTGCTTTAAACATTATGTGTGAGTACATCAATAATGTAGATGCAAAACTATTCTTAGAGATCAGCATATATGCTCTATCTATCAGATATATGAAGCCATCATCACAACCTCTCATGCGTTGCACTTGTACAGACTTCAGTTTTAATCAACAAGGATATTGTTCACCATGTATGAGTATGCATTAACATTTTTGCTCAAGCCCCTAACAAAAATACTTTGTTCTATTCACCAGGCGAGGAGCTATCATCACAACCTTTATTGTGTGCTATGCTCTTACATCTTTCATCTCTGGATATGTTAGTGGTGGCCTCTATTCAAGGAATGGTGGTATGATTCTGCACATTTTTTTATTCAAAAGTCCTCTGTTATGCATACCCATGTTATTTTGTTCCAATAAATAGATTCTTGAATTTGAAAATTTCCTGTTACCTTGTTCTTCACCTCACTGAATGCACTACATAATATGGCAGGCAAAAACTGGATAAAGGCTATGATCCTTACAGCATCACTTTTTCCATTCTTGTGTTTCTCGATTGGATTGGTGTTAAACACTATTGCTATCTTCTACCGATCATTAGCAGCTATACCATTTGGCACAATGGTTGTTATGTTTGTTCTTTGGGCTTTCATCTCCTTCCCGTTGGTTCTATTGGGGACTGTAGTTGGTAGAAATTGGAGTGGTGCTCCCAACAACCCTTGTCGTGTGAAAACGATCCCACGCCCTATCCCTGAGAAGAAGTGGTACCTCACACCTTCTGTTATTTCATTGATGGGTGGGCTTCTCCCCTTCGGCAGCATCTTCATTGAGATGTACTTCGTATTCACTTCCTTCTGGAACTACAAGGTAAAGAAAACAATTTATTGCTGAATGTTCCACCAATTGGAAGTACTAAAGTTCCAATCACCAGCATTTAGAATGATCTGCACTACTTTCTTAGTTACAGAAGCAAAGTTTCTTTCTTTTGGTTTCAAGAAATATTGAGTCCATCACTTGGTGCCTTGGCAGGTGTACTACGTCTATGGTTTCATGTTGCTGGTCTTTGTCATCCTCATAATAGTCACCATATGTGTCACTATTGTGGGTACTTATTTCTTGTTGAATGCTGAGAACTATCATTGGCAATGGACATCATTCTTCTCTGCTGCATCTACCGCCTTGTATGTATATCTATACTCTATATACTATTATCATGTGAAGACAAAGATGTCAGGCTTTTTCCAGACAAGCTTCTATTTTGGTTACACCTTGATGTTCTGTCTTGGATTGGGAATACTTTGTGGTGAGTTTTCAAACTATTTTTCATTTCATTTCAAGCTTACATAGATCATCATAATAGTTTTCAAACTACTTTCTATGTATGTAGGTGCTGTTGGATATTTGGGCTCCACCCTATTTGTGAGGAGAATCTACAGAAATATCAAATGCGACTAAACTTGGTTGAGGCTGTTGGCATGTCTTGTCACAGTATGGTGCAGAGTAATACCCTGAGCTTCTGATTAACTTTTGAAACTACACAGGAGGTCGCTCTCCTTTCGTTACTCTTTTTCATCTTTTTTGGCCTATCTTCCTCCATGGAAGTGTGGAACTGCCCTGATAAATGTATACCTATTAGCTGGGGAATTAGTCAGAGTACTGGAAAGTACATGTAGGTTCTTTTTGTGTGGCCTCTCTTGGTCAATTGTAGGAGTACATTGATGAATATCACCGCAGTGTAGATTCCAGTGGGCTAGATTCGCCTCTCTTATGAGTTGCCACATCCAGTTTTTATACCCCACCCCCCCTTTGTAGCACAAGTAGGCTAATATATTAAGTATATGTTCTTAATGTGTTTGATTTGTTTTTTTGTTGCACTTGAGAGTATATTGAAGATTTGAAGTAGACTTCGGCACATGCCTGTTTCAGCTCCATTGGTTGGCTTGCAGAATTCTAGGCCGAATGACCATTGTAGACCTATATTTGTCTAGTTTGACCGTTTGTGGGGCAGAATTTATGACGTGCACTTTTGCAGGGATCATCCTTTTTCTTCCACTGTCAGAAACACTACTTAAAATTTCTCCTGTCCAGGTCATGATCTATGAATTGGACTTGTTATTACTATGGAGTATATCACTAATGCCTGGACTATACTATTGTTTTCATTTTAGTACTACCTTTTTTTGTTCTCTTTAGTTTGCATGGTGTTTCGTTTAGCCTATCCCAACTTGTTTGAGACTAAAGGGCAGGAACTTCGACGTGTTGGATAGGAACTGTCTTAGAATCACAGCAGCATCCACTACACCTGCAATACTTTTGTAGCGTGTTTCCACACTGAATTCTGAAAAAGTACCTTTGGTAGCACGTTTCCCACTTTGCACATCCGCTACCGGAACAGTGCTTTAGGGAGCCATAGAATTGCCATTCATTTAATTGTCGATCGTTTTGGGATTTTTATTTTAAAGTCAGGTGCTGCTGTAGTGTAACAGATGTCAAGTTCATAAGGTTAGTAACTTAGTAATCAACTTGCTGGTAATAATCAGTGTAGAGAAAATGGGGATATACTCCTTCCCAACCATTTCTTATGATGTGTCAATGTTATCTTGTGGAAATGTCTTGGAACTAATCGGGGTTCTCAATGATGTTGCTCTCGCGGAATTGATCGTCCATGTAGGATGTACACAAGAAATCCATTGCGGCAAGCAAAGATAATGTTTCTTTTGGAAGACCAGGGCATATGAGTGTATTTCAGTCAATGATGTGTTTATATGTTATCTTTTGTAGCCCTTGAAGATTACTTGCAGCCGCATCCCTGGTTTGCGCCCCTGCCTGGGTTTATTTATTTCTGAACGATGAGCTAATGTATGGAGAGCTTAATCCAGTGAGGGTGATGTCATTTGGAATGTGAGACTGTCGGCCCAAACTTGAAAACCAAACACAACTACACAAGAATAGTCCCACTGTTTTTTGATATTAAGGAAAAAAAAACATGTTTGTCATGTGTGGACAAGTCAGTGCAGCAAACGCTTAAGCTTGGTAGTAACTACTCCCTCTGGCTGTATTTCAAGTTATAAGTCATTTTGTTTTTCTGTTTTTTCAAGTACATAGTTTCTGCCATACACCTGGATATACATTTTGTTTACATATATTTTGGAACAAGACTTGTAATTTGTAACCAAGAGACTACGTACTAGCTTGCTAATACAAAAAGGACCGAATGATTGTGCTTAGGAACTCGGAGTCAAACAAAGTTGGGCAAATATCATCGTTGCATTGTACTATACCGTCAGCAACGTCACAACCCAAAATGATGCATGCATTGCTTACAACACACACACACACACACGGGCAAGTGTAGACCAATGGGTGGTGACCTGATCGGTCACGAGACTTGATTTAGCATTGCATAAGTGAAACACCAGATTCGGATTAAATCTCCTTATTGTTTCTATATCATCAATTGGGTTTCTTGGTTCAGCCTGTACTTGGCTATAGCTTCCTTTCTATTCGCCTGTGTCATCATCGCCATTTCCAATCTAGCCAACATGGGCCATACACAAGTATGTATGTATGTATACGCACACACACACACACACAACTATGCTTAGTGTCGCCATCGCAGACATATGTTTAGCCAATGGGTTACAATTGCACGATCAATTTGCACCAGAAAATGATACCCTCCCTAATCATGCTATGAACCCTAACCGCAGCATGACGTAGCTAGGATTGACCCGGAAGCCATATATGCGTAGACTCTGCAAGTCTGCAGCATTCTGCATTTCCGTGAAATATACCTCATGCAGAAGTAGGCAACATTCGACATCAGACCGAACGCTTCGAGGCTACTGTCATCGTGCGCTACAGCATGAAGCTGGTGGTCGAGGTCGTCGGCGCGCACGACCTGCCGGCGAGGCGCGGCCGCGTGACCCCGTTCGTGCAGGTCGCGTTCGGCGGCCAGCGCCACGCGACCGGCGTTAGGCCCGGCGAGGCCAACCCGACGTGGAACGAGACGGTCGTGTTCGTAATCGACGCGATCGTCGCCGGCCGCGGCGGCCGGCTGTCGGACCGTTCCATCGACGTCGGGGTCTACCACCGGCGCGCCTCGGGCCGCAAGAGCTGCCTCGGCCGCGTCCGCCTGTTCGGCGCGGCCGTCGCGCCGTCCGCTGAGGAGGCCGTCCTCCTGCGCTGCCCACTCGACAAGCCCAGCTTCTTCGCCCGGCGCGCGGCGAGGTGGCGCTCCGACTCTACCTGGCGCCGCACGGCCCGCCGGCCACTCCCAGCGCCGCCGCCGCTGCGCTGGCGGGGAATGCCTACTCTACCACGTATGCCACAAGTACCTTCAACGACACCGCCTCCATGGCCGGCGGCCCAGAGACAGTGATCGGAGGCGCGAGCACGCAGTCGTCTCCTGCAATGGTGATCAAGAAGAAAAGAAGAAGAAAGAACCGGTGCAAGAGCCGCCGCCGGTGCATGTCTTCAACTCCATCCCAACGCAGTCCAGCACCGGGTCGCTGATCTTCCCGCCACCACCACCGCCGTCCATGCCACCGCCCACCGCAGCCCCAAAGGCCACCAAGAAGGCTGCGGCGCCTGCCACCGCCGACGACGCCAAGGCGGCGGAGTACCTCATGGTTGACAAGCTGGAGTTCCTGTACGTCAACGTAGTGCGCGGCAGGGGCCTCTCCGGCACCGACCCGTACGTGGAGATCCGGGTGGGCAACTACTCGGCGGTGACACGTCATCTTGTCAGGAACCATGAGCCCGAGTGGAACCAGGTGTTCGCCTTCTCCAAGGATCAGCTGCAGGCGGACAGCGTGGAGGTGATCGTCAAGGACAAGAACCTCATCGTGTGGGACAGCATCGTCGGCAGAGCTGCCCTGAACATCCTCGAGCTCCCAAGCTTGGCTCCTCCTAACCGCCCTCTGGCGCCTCAATGGTACAGGCTCACGGGCGCCAAGGGCCAGTGGACAGGCGGCGAGGTCATGGTCGCCGCCTGGAAGGGGTCGCAGTCCGACGAGGCCTTCGCCGGCGCACTGCACTCCGGCGCGCACGACCTGGCACCGGCCAACGTGGCCACCACCCAGACGAAGTGCTACTTCGCGCCACGGCTGTGCTACCTCCGGTGCCACGTCATCGCCGCGCAAGACTTGGTCCACCCTGACCGCAGCCGCCGGTCGCGGATGAGCGTGTTCGCGAGGGTGCAGCTCGGCGGGCAGAGGTGGTGCACGCGGGCGTCGCCGAGCGCCAAGTGGGACGAGGACTTCTTCCTCGTCGCGGCGTGGCCGTTCGACGAGCCCCTGGAGATCGCCGTCATTGACATCACCTCGCCGCAGCGGCACGAGCTGCTGGGCGAGGTCACCTTCCCCAAGGGAAGCATCAAGGTGCAGCAGTTCGACAAGAAGAAGTTCAAGCCGCCGGCGCCGTCATGGCACGACCTCGAGCTGCCACGTTCATCTGACGGCGGTGGCGGTGGTGGCGACGATGCCCCGGACAGATCAGGACGGCGGCACGAGTTCAGGAGCAAGATACAGCTGCGCGTCTACTACGATGCGGCGTACCACGTCCTCGACGAGGTCACGTCGTACGCCAGCGACTTCCAGCCATCGGCGCGGCCGCTCCGATCGCAGGCCATCGGTGTCCTCGAGCTCGCCGTCCTGCGAGCAACCGGCCTCCGGTCAACGAAGCGCCCGAACGGCGGGCGAGGGACTGTCGACGCCTACTGCGTCGCAAAGTACGGGCAGAAGTGGATCCGGACACGCACGCTCCTCGACACGGCCTCGCCGAGCTGGCAGGAGCAGTTCACGTTCGACGTGTTCGACCCCTGCACCGTGCTCACCGTCGCCGTCTTCGACAACAGCCAGCTCTCCTCCGCCGAGGCCTCGCGGCGCGGCGACACCGACGCGCCGCTGGGCAAAGTCCGCATCCGCGTATCCACGCTGGCGTCAGGCCGCACGTACGAGCAGCCGTACTCCCTGTTCGTGGTGCACCCCACCGGGCTCCTCCGGTGCGGCGAGCTCCACCTCGCCGTCCGGTTCACGCACACGGCGTGGCTCAACATGATGTCGCTGTACCTCCGGCCGGCGCTGCCGAAGCAGCACTTCGCGAAGCCGATCCCGACGCACCTCCTCCCGAGGCTCCGGCGGAACGCCGCGGACGTCGTCGCGTCCCGCCTGGCGCGCGCCGAGCCGCCGCTGCTCCCGGGCGCCGTGCACTACCTCCTCCGCGACCCGTCTGCGCACCCGAGGTCCGACGTGGCGGAGGCCTACGCGTACAGCATGCGCAGGTCCCGCCGCCGCTTGCGCGCGCCTGCGCGACGTGCTGGCCCTGCTCGCCGCGTTCGCGCGCTGGTTCCGGGGCGTCCGCGACTGGGACAACCCGGTCACCACCGTCCTCGTCCTGGTCGTGTTCCTCGTGCTGGCGTGGATGCCCAAGCTCATCCTTCCGACCTTCTTCCTCTACCTTTTCGCCGTTGGCGTGTGGAACTTCTGGCGGCGGCCGGCGCAGCCGGCGCAGATGGAGCACTACAGCGACGGCGTTCCCCAGGCCATGTTCGAGGAGGAGTTCGACGCCGGGTTGCCGTCGGGGACCCTGCCGGAGGTACTCCTCCTGTGGTACTTGCGACTCCGGGAAACGGCTGCTCACATCCAGGGGTTCATCGGTGACGTCGCCTCGAAGGGAGAGCGCGTGCACGCGGTGCTGGGGTGGAGGGACGGCCGCGCCACGGTGATCGCGCTCGTGGCGGTGGCCGCGCTCACCGTCGTGAGCTACGCGGTGCCGTTCAAGGCGCTGGTGTCTGTCACCGGGCTCTACGTGATGAGGCATCCGCTGCTGCGGCGGAAGGAGCCGTCGGCGCTGATGAGCTTCTTCCGGCGGTTGCCGTCCAATGCCGATGTCATGCTGTGACTATGATGGACCGTGGACGTACACGTCTACAGCTGTTGTGCTTCCCGTATAATATTTAATAAATCAAATAAAACTCTATGGTCTGTAATATTAATCGTTGTATGGTTTAATATCGTACGGAATTTTGAGTGAACGCTGACTCAGCTTATTTGGTTGGAAATTATCCATTGTAATTGAGAAGCTGAGAAAATGACACAGGAGTGCCACATGCGCGCACGCCGCCGGCCGGGCAGGGCCGGGCTGAGGCCGTGGGCGGGAGTTTCTCTCTTTTATGGTGAAGACGAGTTAATTGCGCCGGTTATCGTCTCCTGAGTTCCTCCGCTGGTTTTCTTTCTCCCCGCCTCAGGCATAAAATGAAAAGTCATCCGTCAGTTCAATCTCCCCTGGTGATCGCTCGCGGAATAGTAAGGTGTCTTCTTCCTGGTGACTGTTCGTGGGACTGCACTATGAACACCTTCCTGCATCGATTGTGGTCCACGACTTCAAGCAACGCACTATGTCTGGTGTGAATGGAGCCTCCGATGCCCTCGGCATGGGACCCTCCGCTAGGTACACTCTTAGCTCTATGATTACCGTACTTTGCGTACTTACTGTATCGATCAGAATATCATACTTGCATGCTGTAGCGTTTATTAGCGATATACACATACACATATATGTCGTCACGAACCTGCTGATGTTTTATTTCTGAATTAAATTAACCATGAAAATGCCTAATTATCTAACAATCCAAAAACCTAATGTTAGGTAATTTTCTGTCAGTGGTTTTGCTGCTGCTTTGAAGCCGAATAACTTTGATGGCAAGAATTTCATGATATGGCGTGCCAAGATGCTGTTGTGGTTGACTGCTATGAACTGCTATCATACCGCACAGGGGAAGCTTGAACAATTTACTCCTAAGGAGGAGCAAAAGTTCTTGCCTGCCGATAACCTGTTTCGAGACGCCGTGATTAGTGCACTTCATAGTAATTATGAGAAAAACTACATATCTTGGACATCAGGCAAAGAATTATGGGATGTTCTTGAGGTAAAGTTTGGTGTTTCTAATGCTGGTAGTGAGCTATACCTTATGGAGCAGCTGTATGACTACAAAATGGTTGAAAACCGTTCTGTAGTGGAACAGGCTCATGAGATACAGGCGCTAACAAAGGAACTAGAACATTTTTCATGTTTGTTGCCCAATAAGTTTGTGGCCCGATAAGTTTGTGGCCGACGGTATAATCGCTAAGCTGACACCTTCTTGGAGGGATTTTGCTACTTCTTTAAAACACAAAAGACAAGAGTTTAGCGTGGCTGAGCTTATTGGATATCTTGATGTTGAGGAGAGGGCGAGAGCAAAAGACAACCATGAAAAAGGAGTTGAGTCTTCCGCTGCCAATATGGTGTAGAAGAAAAACTCATTTGCATCCCGTAATAAAAAGAAGAAGAACATGCAAGAGAACACCAATACAAAGCCTAAGCAAACTGCTGGGTTTAAGAAGAAAAACAACAAGAAAGGTGGAGGTTGCTTTGTTTGCGGGAGTAATGAGCATTGGACAAGTACGTGCCTAGACCGCAAATATAAGCAAAAAAATCAGCAAACATGGTAATTAGCGAGACTGGAGGAGGAACATATGGGTATGGTAATTTTTTATCTTTTGTTCCTTCAGTTTGTCTTTCACCTGAGTGGTGGATGGATAGCGGTGCTAATATTCATGTGTGTGCTAATTTTTCTTTGTTTACTTCCTATCAGGCCGACGGGACTGGATTCTTGCTGATGGAAAATAGTTCGCATGCACGTGTTCTTGGTGTTGGTACGGTCATTCTGAAGTTTACTTCAAGAAAGACGGTGCTATTAAAGAACGTGCAGCATGTCCCCTCCATCAAGAAGAATCTTGTTAGCGGTTCTCAAATGTGTCGCGATGGCTTTAAAATTATGCTTGCGATGGCTTTAAAATTATGCTTGAGTCCAATAAGTGTGTTGTGAAGACATGGAACATTTGATGGAAAAGGTTATGATTGCGGAGGCTTGTTCCGCTTATCTTTGCTTGATGGTGTGTGTAATAAATTAGTGAACAATGTTAATATTTTGGATGAGTCCAATATATGGCATTCACGACTTTGTCACATTAATTTTGGCCGTCTCACGCGACTTGTAAATCTGAATTTAATCCCGAAATTTAACTTAGTCAAAGATTCTAAGTGTCAGGTGTGTGTACAATCGAAGCAACCGTGTAAGCCTCACAAGACTGCTGAGGCGAGAAACTTGGCACAATTAGAACTCGTTCATTCTGATTTATGCGAAATAAATGGCGAATTGACTAAAGGCGGTAAACAATACTTCATGACATTTATAGATGATTGTACTAGATTTTGCTATGTATGTTTATTGAAAACTAAAGATGAAGCGTTGCATTATTTTAAAGTCTATAAAGCTGAGGTAGAAAATCAACTTGAGAAAAAAAATCAAACGTTTGCAGTCTGATCGCGGGGGAGAATATTTCTCAAATGAATTTTCTGAGTTTTGCGCGGTGTATGGAATTATTCATGAGAGGACGCCACCATACACACCACAGTCCAATAGGATTGTAGAGAGAAAGAACCGCACTCTAACTGATTTGGTTAATACCATGATAGAGACTGCGGGACTATCTAAGAAATGGTGGGGTGATGCTATATTAACAGCGTGTCATGTCCTGAATAGGATGCCCACAAAGAACAATGAAATTACACCATTCGAGGAATGAGAGAAGAAGAGATTAAATCTCTCTTACCTGCGAACTTGGGGTTATTTGGCAAAGGTGAATGTGCCAATAAACAAAAAGCGAAAGCTTGGACCAAAGATTGTTGATTGTGTTTTTCTTGGTTATGCTATTCACAGCGTGGGTTATAGATTTTTAATTATAAATTCTAGTGTTCCTGAGATGGCTGTTGATACAATCATGGAATCTAGAGACGCTACATTTTTTAGAATGAATTTCCCATAAAAAATGCACCTAGCACGACTGGTCACAAATTTATAATTCCCCATGAGCTTGAAACTTTTACTCCAATAGAACAAATTGAGGAACCCTATATGCAAAATCCTGAGGAGGATGACACTATAGTCACTAGAAAAAGTAAGAGATAGAGTACTGTAAAGTCTTTTGGTGATAACTATATTGTGTACCTTATGGATGACACACCAACGACCATTAAAGAGGCATATTCCTCTCCTGATGCTGACTTATGGAAAAAAGCAGTACGGAGTGAGATGGATTCTATTATGTCTAATGGAACTTGGAAAGTTGATCGTCCTTATGGGTGCAAGCCTATAGGGTGCAAATGGGCGTCCAAGAAAAAGCTTAGGCTTGAAGGTACTATCGAGAGGTACAAGGCAAGACTTGTGGCCAAGGGTTATACTCAAAAGGAAGGTGATGATTTCTTTGATACTTATTCACCGGTTACCTGATTGACTATAATTCGAGTTTTGCTTTTCCTGGCAGCCTCTTATGGTCTTATCGTTCAACAAATGGATGTTAAGATAGCTTTCCTAAATTGAGAGTTAGAGGAGGAGATCTATATGGATCAGCCGGATGGGTTTGTAGCAAATGGTCAAGAAGGCAAGATGTGTAAATTATTAAAGTCATTATATGGCCTAAAACAAGCTCCTAAGTAAAGATGGCAACGGGTAATATCCGCGGTGGATACTGGTAACACAAACCCACACCCGCGAGAAAATTTCTGTGCCCTCGCCCGCCACCCGCCACGGGCACCACTTTGCGCCCGCACCCGCTATCCGCTGGGATGTTTCGCCCCTGGGCATGCCCGCATACTCGTGAGTGGAGGAGCCGCCGAGCGACGCTGCGAGAGGAGCATCGTGGCGAGTACGACGCCGGGGAGGCGGGTGCTGGGGTCGTGGCCTCACGAGGTGCTAGGGTGGCTTGCTACCTCCCCGATGGATCCACGGCGCCAAGCGGGGATTACAGAACAAAAAATACAAAAAAATTGCATCTTGCAAGCTCCAATCAATAATCTAAAAGCATGAAAATACAAAAAAACGCATCTTGCAAGAGCATTGATTAAGGACCACACAAGTTACAGACTCCTTTTACAGGTCACAACTCCCTATTCCGCCAAAAGAACAAAGCAGATCCACAGATCAAAAATGGGAATAAGCACCTAGATGTTGCACTCTTGCAGATCGAGCATAGAGAGAGAGGAGATCCTGCAGATCGAGCAGTGAGAGACACAAAGAGAGCAGGGAGATCCGCAGCAATCCTACAGCTTGTCATCCTACTCTCGTCAAAGCGCCGCTTTGCTCTGCTAGAGGAGTCGACCGCAGGGGATGGAGGAGCCCGTGTTGGCCTTTGCTCGCTTGAAAGGGAACGGAGAAAGGAGATGAGTGGAGGAGCCCGGTGTTCGCAGGAAGCTAGAAGCTAGGAAGGCAAGGCACAAGGCAGCGAGAGGGAACCGTGGGGTGGTACGGATGGGGATGGAATGAAACTAGGGTTCCAAACTTCAATATATACTTGGTTGGTCAGTGACCCCAACTGCTGTGTAACTAAGACGGGTTTATGGATATGGATAGGCTATTTTCTTACCCGTTAATGAATGCCCGTTGGTTTATACCTCTGCTCGCACCTGCGTGCTCATGGGCATGTGTTTGTTCTATCCTCGCCCCCACCGGTTCGGGTGCCCGCAGGTATGCAGATTTTTTTCTGCCACTGCCATCTTTACTCCTAAGCAAAGGCATGAGAAGTTCAATGAACTCTAACATCCGCCGGCTTTGTTGTGAATGAAGTCGACAAATGTGTGTACTATCGGTATGGTGGGGGTGAAGGAGTTATTTTGTAATTATATGTTGATGACATACCGATCTTTGGATCCAAATTCAAAGTGATTGAGGAGGTGAAGGAATTTTATCTAATAATTTTGAAATGAAAGATTTGGGAGAGGCTGATGTTATTCTTAATATCAAGCTTCCGAGAGAAGGTGATGTTGGGGTAACTCATTACAAATCCCACTACGTGAAAAATGTG